ACAGGTGGACTGGTGGGTAAGTAGATGGGTGGATGGTGGATGGACAGGTGGATGGGTGGGTGAGTGGATGGGTGGATGGATAGATTTAAATAAGGATAGACAGATGGTAGAGAGATGTCAGACATAGATGGATGGATAGATGGATGGATAGATAGATAGATATAAACAGGTATAGACAGATAGGTAGACATGGATGGTAGAGATAGACAAATGTGAATGGATAGGTGATAAACAGTTATGAACAGAGACGGCAGAGGGACAGATGATAGACAACCAATAGCACTAACAACAAACAGGCTCCTAGGATCGTGGATGGTAGGAAGCAGTCATTTTACAGAGAAAGCAGGAAAGGGAGATGTGGGCTTTGAAGGATTTCCCATAAGGGGCTGGGGGACCCCTGAACTTCTCCCTGAGGGGCCGGCTGCTGTGGGAGGAGTGGCAGCCTCCTGTGGGGAAACTGAGCCCCAGCCCAACCATGTGGCTGGAGGCGAGGACCTGGCCATGGTCAGGGAGGCAGTGGGAGTCCTGAGAGGACCAGGGGAGGGGCCTGCTGCAGGACCAGGTGTGCCAGGCCCAGCCCCCCATTCCCTGTCCAGTCTGTCCACCAGCACCGGAGGTCTCAGGGCCGCTGGCCCATACTGTGAGAGCCTGAGAACTTTGCAGACCCTGGCCATGAATCCCTTTGCCTGGACACAGCAGGTGTGAGGGCCTAGGAGCTCTCATTAGCAGGTGTGAGGGCCCAGATTCTGTGGTCAGCAGGTGTGAATGCCCGGGCACTGTGGCCAGCAGGTATGAGGGCCTGCACTTTGTGGCCAGCAGGTGTGAAGGCCTGGGTACTGTGGTCAGCAGGCGTGAGGGCCGGGTGCTCTCATCAGCAGGTGTGAATGCCCGGGCACTGTGGCCAGCAGGTATGAGGGCCTGCACTTTGTGGCCAGCAGGTATGAAGGCCTAGGTGCTGTGGTCAGCGGGTGTGAGGGCCCAGGTGCTCTGGTCAGCAGGTGTGAGGGCCCGGGTGCTGTGGTCAGCAGGTGTGAAGGCCCGGGTGCTGTGGTCAGCAGGTGTGAGGGCCCGGGTGCTGTGGTCAGCAGGTGTGAGGGCCCGGGTGCTCTGGTCAGCAGGTGTGAGGGCCCGGGTGCTCTGGTCAGCAGGTGTGAGGGCCCGGGTGCTGTGGTCAGCAGGTGTGAGAGCTCAGATGCTGTGGTCAGCAGGCGTGAGGGCCCGGGTGCTGTGGCCAGCAGGTGTGAGGGCTCGCTCTTGTGGTCAGCAGGTGTGAGAGCTCAGATGCTGTGGTCAGCAGGTGTGAGAGCTCAGATGCTGTGGTCAGCAGGTGTGAGGGCCTGCACTCTGTGGTCAGCAGGCTGAGGGCCCGCTCTTGTGGTCAGCAGGCGTGAGGGCCCGCTCTTGTGGTCAGCAGGCTGAGGGCCCGGGGCCCTGAGACGAGCCATGAAGGAGTCTCGGAAGGGCAGGCAGTGCCCTCCTCCCTATCCTTTCCCTCCCTGCTGCTCGCCCTGACACAGGGGTCTGCCGCTGGCAGCGACGTTCCTGGGAGTCGGGCTGGGCTTTGCATCCCCGTCTCCGGAACAAGCAAACACTGTTTCCCGTCCTTCCCCTGGGCGTGACCTTGGACTGAGCTGGCTGTCAGCCCTGGCCGTGGTCCCTGACCCCGGGACAGAAGTGCCCTCTGCGTGCGCGGCAGGAACGGCCTCTGCTGGCGCCTCTCCTCCCCGCAAGTCCACAGGAGGCCGAGTCCCACTCAGCTGCTGTCCTCCCGCTGGAACCCTGCCCTCTCCAGAGCTCGTGTCCAGGCCTGGGGGGCAGCCAGGGGTGAGCAGGAGGGCACCGTGCCCGGCACATGGCCAGGGAGCCACGGGCACACTGCTTGCTCCTCAGCATCTCGGTCCGGGGAGGACCCTCCCCACCGCTGTCCCTGGATGAACCGCGGATGGCCGGCCCAGGTGAGCACTGCCTCTGCACAGCCTCCCCGTCCGGTCACAGCCTCCCCGTCCGGTCACAGCCTCCCCGTCTGTGCACAGCCTCCCCAACTGTCCACAGCCTCCCGTCTGTCCACAGCCTCCCCGTCTGTGCACAGCCTCCCGTCTGTCCACAGCCTCCCCAACTGTCCACAGCCTCCCCGTCTGTCTACAGCCTCCCCGTCTGTCACAGCCTCCCCGTCTGTCCACAGTCTCCCCGTCTGTGCACAGCCTCCCCGTCTGTCCACAGCCTCCCCGTCTGTCCACAGCCTCCCCGTCTGTCCACAGCCTCCCCGTCTGTCCACAGCCTCCCCAACTGTCCACAGCCTCCCCGTCTGCCCGCAGCCTCCCCGTCTGTCCACAGCCTCCCCGTCTGGTCACAGCCTCCCCGTCCGGTCACAGCCTTCCCGTCCGGTCACAGCCTCCCCGTCCGTCCGCAGCCTCCCCGTCTGTCCACAGCCTCCCCAACTGTCCACAGCCTCCCCGTCTGTCTACAGCCTCCCCGTCTGTCTACAGCCTCCCCGTCTGTCCACAGCCTCCCGTCTGTCCGCAGCCTCCCCATCCATGCACAGCCTCCCGGTCTGTGCACAGCCTCCCCGTCTGTCCACAGCCTCCCCGTCTGTCCACAGCCTCCCCGTCCACAGCCTCCCTGTCTGTCCACAGCCTCCCCGTCCATAGCCTCCATGTCCGTCCATAGCCTCCCCGTCTGTCCACAGCCTCCCCGTCTGTCCACAGCCTCCCCGTCCATAGCCTCCATGTCCGTCCATAGCCTCCCCGTCTGTCCACAGCCTCCCCGTCTGTCCACAGTCTCCCCGTCTGTGCACAGCCTCCCTGTCTGTCCACAGCCTCCCTGTCTGTCCACAGCCTCCCTGTCTGTCCACAGCCTCCCCGTCCACAGCCTCCCCGTCTACAGCCTCCCCGTCTGTCCACAGCCTCCCCGTCCACAGCCAACATGTCCATCCGCAGCCTCCGTGCCCACAGCCCCCCAATCTGTCCACAGCCACCCTGTCCGCAGCCTCCCTGTCTGTCCACAGCCTCCCTGTCTGCAGCCTCAGCACTCCCAGGCCCAGCTCCTTCCTGAGCACTTCCCACGGACAGAGAAGGGGCGGCAAGACCCCCAGAGACCCCTCCCAGGGGCTCTCACTCTGGTGGGTGAGGGTGTCCTCTCCGAGGAGGCTCTGAAGAGCCGGGCCCGAGCAGCTGCCCAGTGATGCCCAGTGAGGAGCAGGGCCGGACCTCCCAGCCCAGCGCGAGTGAGCAGCCATCTCTGAGCAGGCGGGGCCCCCACCTGTCACACTCACATCCTCCTGAGCCCCCCGCAGACCCCACGTGAGCCCCTGCATCTGTCCCCACCTTGGTGTTGCTGTGGACAAGGCTTCCAGGCAGGCCACATGGAAAGGAGGAGGTGGGGGCGTCCCCTGCCCAGGGGCCCTCTCCAGGCCCCACTGCCTGCACCCACAGTGCAGCGCTGGCCCCGTGAGCAGCCCCAGGCAGGCCCCAACGTGGGGCCATCCTGCCACACTCTGTCCCTCCCAGGGTCCGTCCCCAGGAGCACTGCCGGGCCCAGCTCCTCCCACCGCATCCCTGCATGTCTGCAGCACCCTCCTGGCCCACCTGATCCTTGCTGAGCAGCCACGGCCTGCAGAGTGGACACGGTGGCTGGGCGGGCAGAGGCCAGGGGTCACCTCGAGGGTGGCGAGGAGGCCAGGCAGTCCTAGAGGACTGGGCTAGGGACGGGGCACGGGCACGGCAGGCACATCTGCATCAGTGCTGTCCAAGGGCAGCCATGGCCACACGTGGCTCCTGTGCACGCGGGGCGTGCACTCAACAGCTCCTTTGCTTCATTTTAGTTTAGAAATCGTACTCCGGCTGACAGCTGCCATGGCGGATGCTGGGGTCCTCCCACCCCCGCAAGGGATGTAAGAGGCGGGGCCGGGTGCCCCTTGCTTTCACCATTGTCTGCCCAGAGAATGCTGGCTAGCTGTGTCCAGCAAGCCTGACCTGGGCTGGCATGGGCACCATGGGGAGGACCAGAGGGAGAGCTCTGTGGGCTCTGGGGGTCTTTGGGGTGGGAGGCGATGACCACATTCATGGCTGCTGATGGCCGGGGGTGCACCTGCCACACAGAGCGGGGCCTCAGGCGTGGCCCTGACGCCAGCCCAGAGCAGGCAGCTGGGGTTGGGGAGGGGGCCTGTCAGGGGGTGGCCAACCCAAATGACCAAAGCAAGATGCGCATCAGCAGGTGGGCACAGTCCCTCCACTCACGCCTGCAAACCACAGATCTGGATGCAGCTCTTGGACCAGTGGACCCTGGCCGAGGGTGCAGGCACCCTTGTCCTGGGGATGGGAGCGGCTGCTGGGGGTCCATGTCAGGACCCCTGCCCCGCCCTGATCACAGGTTCCGAGGGAGCAGGAAAATAACCCCCAATGAGCGACAGTGGGGGTGGGCCCTGGGGGCCTCCATAGCCAGTGGTGTCCACGGGGCAAATGAGCAGTGCTGCCCCCATGGGAGGGGAAACTGAGGCCCTGCCCAGCAGCAACCACAGCCCAGGGTCGAGAGTGCATCGGGCCCTGGCCCCTCCCCCTGCCCATGACTCAGTGTCCCTGGCACAATCCCCTCTGCCCTGGACCCGGTTCACAAACCCCTTTCAATGTGTGCCCAGCCCTCAGCCAACAAGGGCCCATTCAGCTGGGAGGGCGCGCGGGGGTGGGGCGGGCGTTTGTCAGAAGCGGAAGTCGGCCTCCCGCGAGGGCAAGGGCAAGGGCAGGTCCCAGGCCAGGAAGCCAGCCGGCAGTGCGCACCAGAGCGGCCGGGGCTTCTCGAGGGACAGCCTTGGCCTGGACGCAGGACGTGGCTCTCGGCTCCAGGGGGCACAGCAGGAGGCACACAAGCACATCAAGGTCCACCCATCAACGTCCAGCTGCAAAACGAAGGAAGCCACCACTGAGGCCCTGCCGGGGGGCCTGGCAAACACTGGGATACCTCAGGTGACACCAACAGCAGACACAGGCGACACCGACGGCAGACACAGATGACACCTACAGCAGACATGGATAACACCTACGGCAGACACAGGCGACACAGGTGACACCAACGGCAGACACGGGCGACACCGACAGCAGACACAGGCGACACCTACGGCAGACACAGGTGACACTGACAGCAGACACAGGTGACACCTATGGCAGACACGGGTGACACCTACGGCAGACACGGGTGACACCTACTGCAGACACAGGCAACGCCTATGGCAGACATGGGTGACACTTACAGCAGACACGGGTGACACCTACAGGAAACAGGTGCACACCTACAGCAGACACAGGCGACACCTACGGCAGACACGGGTGACACCTACAGCAGACACGGGTGACACCTACAAGAAACAGGTGCACACCTACAGCAGACACAGGCGACACCTACAGCAGACACGGGTGACACCTACGGCAGACACGGGCAACACCTACAGCAGACACGGGTGACACTGACAGCAGACACAGGTGACACCTACAGGAAACAGGTGCACACCTACAGCAGACACAGGTGACACTGGGGCAATGCAGACATGTGTGTCACAGGAAGATAAGAGATGTAGAAGAGAACTGAGCAACTTGCAGAACGGAGCAGTCCACAACCCACTCTACCTGGGAGACCCCAGTGTGTGTGCACAGCGACCATATGTGCCTGCGGGCGGGAGCATTGTGTGCATGTGTGTGCCCGTGGGCGGGAGCATTGTGTGCATGTGTGTGCCCGTGGGCGGGAGCATTGTGTGCATGTGTGTGCCCGTGGGTGGGAGCATTGTGTGCATGTGTGTGCCCGTGGGTGGGAGTGTGTGTGTGCATGTGTGTGCCCGTGGGTGGGAGCGTGTGTGTGCATGTGTGTGCCCGTGGGTGGGAGCATTGTGTGCCTGTGTGTGCCCGTGGGTGGGAGCATTGTGTGCATGTGTGTGCCCGTGGGTGGGAGCGTGTGTGTGCATGTGTGTGCCCGTGGGCGGGAGCGTGTGTGTGCATGTGTGTGCCCGTGGGCGGGAGCGTGTGTGTGCATGTGTGTGCCCGTGGGCGGGAGCGTGTGTGTGCATGTGTGGGCACAGCTGTGCTGGGTGCAGACCCCATAGCTCACCACGTGGCTGGGCCTGGAGGGCAGCTGGTGCGCAGAACTTTCACGTCACGGGGACGTCTCCTGAGCCTGTGACACTGCAAGGCCCCCTTGCCAGGGAAAGGCTCCCTGGACTTGGGGTCAGGAGCTGCTGGTCGGTGGCTATGGACCTGCTGTCCCTACAGGCCAGAGTTCCCAGCTCTGTGAAGTGGGCAGGGTGGCTGGTTTTGTCACTAGTTGCTTGTGACTGTGGCAAGACACCCAGGCCTGTGGCTTCACTCATGGACACGAGGGCAGGATGAGGCCCAGCTTCCCAGGCGGCTGTCCCCTCCCATACTTGGGCATCCACGGTCAGCAGCAGGGGCCCAGGCCTGACCCCGCGGCAGCCGTTGGTGCTGACAATGCAGGCAGGCATTTCCTAGGTAGGGTGCACGGCTGTTGCAGCTCAGCCCAGTCGCAGTATGGTAGCCTAGGCGGCCACGGGAGACCAGGGTGGGGAACCGTGAGCAGGTGGAGAGGGGGACCACTGCCCTGCCCTGGTGCCCCGTGCCCGTGCCGGACAGCCTAAGCTGGAGCTCTCTGAGCCAGAGTCTTTTTTTTTTTGACAGGCAGAGTGGACAGTGAGAGAAAGGTCTTCCTTTTTCCATTGGTTCACCCCTCAATGGCCACTGTGGCCAGCGCGATGCAGCCGGCGCACCACACTGATCCGAAGCCAGGAGCCTGGTGCTTCTCCTGGTCTCCAATGCGGGTGCAGGGCCCAAGCACTTGGGCCATCCTCCACTGCACTCCCGGGCCACAGCAGAGAGCTGGCCTGGAAGAGGGGCAACCGGGACAGTATCCGGCATCCCGACCAGGACTAGAACCCGGTGTGCTGGTGCCGCAAGGCGGAGGATTAGCCTAGTGAGCCACAGCGCCAGCCCTGAGTCAGAGTCTTGTCTGGGTCACAGAGGGGTTGCAGCTGCCTGCAGACTCCCAGCAGCCTTGGGGGCAGAACCCACGGGAGCCCACACCATCTGGGTCTGCACACCCCCAGTCCAGGCCTGGACCGTGGAGGGGCTCTCACAGAACCCCCTTCTCTCCTCTGGCCTGGGCCCTGAGGGTCCCGGGAGCCCTTGCACTGTCGGCGCCCAATGCTGCAGGTCCAGGCACCCTGCGCTGCCTGCTCGGCAAACGCCAGCCTTGGCCTGGGCGTCCACATGCGGAGCTGGAGTTCTCGGCCCCTGTAGAGCTTCCTGACCGCTGAGGCCGCCCTATTCCCACCCTTATGAGTGGACGCACAGGCTCGTGCCGGGTGTCCCTTCAAGTGACCCAGCTCGGACCACACCTGCAGGAAGAGGGAGAGGGAGACAGCGCAGGCTTGGGGCCCTTGGGCAGGCATCACTGGACCAGGGTGCCAAGCCCCTGAGGACAGCTGTGGATGCTGGCGAAAGCAAAGCCTGCCAAAGCTCAGGCCCACAGCAGTGCCCACAGCCCGGCCTGGGCCTCGTGCTCCACTGCAGCCCCAAGCTGACCCAGAAGTGGCCCACGGCGTGCGGGGGCTGCCCCCCCCCCACCGAAGTAGGGGTCTGGGGTCAGAGGCCACTCGTCACAAGTCAGACGGATACACTCACAAACAAGCAAGGGGCATTAAACAAAAAAGCTCTGGTGTCCGCCCGCCTCTCATATTCATTCATTCATTCGATTACAGCCTGGCAGCCAAGGCATCCACCTCCCATGTCGGAGCACCTGGCTGAGCTCCCAGCTCCACTCCCGCCTCCAGCTTCCTGCTAACGCGCCCCTGCGGCAGCCGCGGTGCTCCGGGGATGGGGCCCCTGCCACCCTGTGGGGACCCAGGAACTCGGTCTGGGCGCCAGCCTGGGCCACAGCCGGTATTTGGTACTGAACCAGCAAGTGACAGCACGTTCTAACAAAGAAACAAAACTTTAACAACGAAAAATAAACGGAAGTAGCAAATATTCAAAGCTCGCCCTGGGGCCGTGCTGCCACCCACCTTCCCGATGGTCACTTGAAGTCACCGAGAACGGTGGGCCCCATCCAGTCACTCCCCCGACCTCCGCAGCAGGTCACTCGGGACAGCTCTGCTTGGACACAGCAGTCAGCTCGGCTTGTGCTTCCCCCTCCAAGTCCCCGTGGGGGAGCAGAAGTCGGCACCCGGCATCCACACAGCCTGGGCCCTCCCCTCACTGCCCCCCACGCCCCCAGCCCCATATTTGGCTCTTTGTGGCCTTCCCGGGAGGCCGCCATCCACCACTCACACCAGGCAGCACTGAGCCCGTGGTCCCTGGAGAACAAAGGCTTGGGCCAAGGACTCTGAGAGTCTGAACTGACCAATGGCTCAGCCCTAGGAACAGCTGGGCGGGGCGGGGGGGGGGGTGGCGAAGGCTTGGGGCTTTCAAACTGAGTGTTAGGCGCTGGCAGGCCAGGGCTGGGAGATGGACGGAGGCACAACAGCCGGGAGCCAGGGGCCAGGCCAAGCTGGCCACTGTGGAACCACCCAGATGTGGGGCCAGGAAGCTGGGGCTGCGTGGGGCGTGGGGGAGCAGGGCCCAGGTCTGAGAGCAGGCCTGGCCAGGGCAGCCTCTCAGGGTGCAGGTGGCCAGCAGCACGCCCAGTGGCCACACCCAGGAGCCTGCTGGGCGGACACTGAGCTCGCCCCTCCTCTCCTGTCTCTGTGTCCTACACTCAGGAGCCGGAAGCCTGCAGGGCAGCTGCAAGGACGGTGCTCCCACAGGCTGGCGTGGGACGGGGCTGGGGAATTCTTAGCCACGTGGCCCCTCCGGGGGACCCACTCCTGGGGGTGGGGGGTCTCAGTGTTCTCCCGGGACAGGCAAGGAGCCAAGGAGGGGCTGCACCCCATTTCCCAGACCGCTCAACCCTTGCTGTGCTCATCTGGTGTGGAGCCCCCAGCCAGGCCTCAGGGCCCCCCAAGGGCTCCTTCTTGCACCTGTGGCCCTTGGGGTTTGAGTGACAGACACCTGTGGGTGAGCCCCACCTCCTGGGCCAACAGGCAACAGCAGAGGCAGGCCAGGCATTGCCTGGGGGCCCCCAGCGGGGAGCTGCTCCTGACGATGAGAGGCGCTGGCCCCACTTCTGGGGGAAGCAAAGGGGGGCGGCCCCCACCAGGGCGCATCCTAAGCTGCCGGGTCACATATTTTCCAAATGACAGCAGCTGCCGGCACAGGCCGGTACAGGTAGGAGCAGCTGGGCCCCGTGCAGGGCTGCAAGAGACCCGGATGCCCCAAGACTGCCCGGGCAGCACAGGCACGAAGCAGAGGAGTCCACTCTGCATCCGGCTGGTGCTCCTACTGCAGTGTGGGAGAGGGGACAGGCAGGGGCCAGGGGTTCCCAGACCACCCCAAGGGGACCACAGCCCTGCCCTGCAGTGGGGGGAGGGGCATGGAGGCATCCGGAGCTCATGGAGCCCATGGTGCTCAGGTCCCCAGCACCTGTGTCCCTTCCTCCAGAGTCCCTGTCCCGTCCGCAGCCCACCTCCACCCACAGCAGGACGCCAGGTGCACCAGGAGCTGGTTTTCCAAGTGAAAACCGGCCACTCCCACCAGGAGGCATGGGGGGTCTTCCTGGGACGGGGACCCTGCCTCCAACGGCTCTGCTGTGACTGTGACGTCAGGTTCCTAGGACAGAGCCACCGCGCCCCCACGGCCCCCGAACACGGCCAGAGGAGCAGCGTGGGCGTCGGCTGTGGAGGGGCAGGAGCCCTAGCTGTGTGCAACCTGCGCCTGTCCCCTGGTGTCTCCACTCCTAGTCAGTCAGCAGAAGACCGGTTTCCACCTCAAAAGCTGAAGCCAGGTGAGCGCCCAGCAGATAATGCCGGAGCGGCCGGGGCTCTGAGCGTCCTCCCCACAGCATCACGCAGGGGCCCGCGGTGACCACGCCGGGCACAAACCCTTACAGATCCGACCGCCGTCCCGCCGGGCGGTCCTCAGCTCCCTGCCTCCTCGCTGTGCTCTCTCCACGGCCAAGGCCCTGGACGCAGCGAGGCCCAACCGTGCCCCTCCCTGCAGGCAGCACGTTCCTGGACCACACGGCCTCAGGGTCAGCCGAGGCCACAGCCCTGTCCTGACTCGAGACAGGTGCCTCGGACAAGAGCGTCCAGCAGTGCTGAGAAAACACTCGGGGGCCCCAGCGCAGTATGTGGCCGCCTTGGCCCCTCCCCGAGGCTGCGTCCCTGTGACTTCCGAGCCCTTGGGGAAAGCGGTGGGTGGGTTCCAGTAACTCTAGAACAGGAAGGGGCTCGGCTTTCCTCCTGCAACATGGACAGAGCTGGACGCCCCGGCCGGGAGGTGCTCGTAGAACTCCTTCCAGGGCAGACGTGGGGGCTCCCGGAGGGGCTGCTGGGAGGGCGGCGTACCAGCCCACAGCACCCAGGACGAGGTCCAGGCTGCAGCCACTGCTGGTCCCGTCCAGGGCCGCCAGTGCCGCTGGGTCCCCACTACCTGCCCTCCCTTTGTGGGGGCAACTTCTGCCCACAGGTGCTCTGTGCCTCCAGGGCAGGGCCGCCCTCACCTGCTGCCCAGGAGAGCCGGGCTCGAGGGTGGACAGTGGAGCCCCCGGGGCGCTGGCCTGCTCAGACCATGACAGGGCAAGGCACCAGATCCACCTGGCCCGGCAGCCCCCAGGCCTTGGGTGCTGGGGTGAGCCCCGCCCCCTCCCAAGGCCCCAGGGCCTCACTTCTCCCCGTTCCCAACTGGGCCCCCGCACTGCACCCCTCAGAGACTGCATCAGGCCTGGAGGTGCAGAGACGAAGGCCGAGAGCCGCGCTGTCCAGGGCAGGGACCTGGCCGTGGCGAGCACAGTGCGGAGGGAGGGAGGGGCCGAGGACTGCACGGCTGGACGACCCTCAGATCCGGGTCAGGGTTTATGCCGGCGTGGGGCACCGGGGGAGGGGAGCTGGAGCGTGCCCAGGGCTCACACCACGCATGTACTGTGGTGTCTGGGCTACCGGGTTAGCTCACCTTCTGCTTTCCAGTGGTCGATGCACACAGGCACACGTCAGCTCTCACCCGCGGCTCAGGGTCTGTGACCACCAGGCAGCTCTGCCCACCACGCCCTCTCACTTCTCCAAGGACTGGGGTGGGGGCCCAGGCATACCAGGCACTCACATAAATAACCGCAGAGACGCCGGGGTCAGCAGAGACGGCCCCTGCCCAGGCTGCCCCTGAACACTCCCCTGCTGCCCCCAGGCCCAGCAAGGCAGGCTCTCCCCCATCGCCGGCACCCGGCCCAGCCCATCCATCACTGTCGACAGCTCCGTGCCAGAGGCTGCTTCCGCCACACACAAGGGAAGAACAGAGGGGGTTCTGCGGGGGGCCAGCTGCGGTCAGGCTGGAAGGCCCTTGCCAAACGCACACTCCCGGCCAGGTCTGGCTGCAGGCCCAGCCTCGTCTGGGGTCACCCGGCCAGGCCGCGGCTGGTGGAGGAAGGGGTTCCTTCCTGTCCGCCCAGCTGCTGGGGAGGGAGGCCTGGCCTGAAGTGGCTGCAGGGAGCCTGGTGCACCTGCTGGGGGCAGAGCCCAGCTCTCTCTGCCTGTGCCCATGAGGCGCTGGCCAGGGCTCCCGCTTCCTGGAGTGTGGCTGTGGGGCCCAGCGTGACAGGTGGGCAGGCAGACGCTGAGCCTTGGCTGCCTTTGACTGCCTGGGGCTCTGAGACAGTCCCGCCCCAGAGCAGGAAGGTGGGCTGCTGTTGGCCAGAAGGGGCTGGAAACCAGGCCTGTGGCCTCACGCACCCTCTCAGCCGGCCACACACCCCCGTTTGGTCAAAGGCCAACCCAGTGGTTGCTGACAGTGTTCTGAGAGCTGACTGACAAGGTAACCTGAAGAGAGGCATGTGAACCTCGGTGCTGGGTGCCCTCTCACCCCACGGGGCCTGGGACTCACGGAGGAGCCCCTGGGGCCGTGCAGGCCATGGTCCCTCCATGCCAGGGCCCCTCCACACCTGGCCCCTGCCCCTCAGCATGCCCCTGCAGGATCTGGCGTGACCTGGAGGGCCGGGCGATCGGACGCGCCCCACGGCACTGGAGGCTGGGGTCCACGAGCAGAGGGGGGAGCTGTGGGGGTGGTCCCGGCACTCGGTTCCTCAGCGCCCGCGGAGACCCTGGAGCCACCTCTCAAAGGACACCAGGCCCCTGACAGCAGAGACCCTGGTGACCCGTCAAAGGCCCTGCCCAGTCACAACTCCGCCCATGCGGGGGCCCCTCTGTCCCAGCTGTGGTGCTCAGGGAGAGCAGCAGGAGGCAGCTGGCCAGGGGCCGCCCGTGCACCTTGGGGGCAGCTCCCAGACACAACGGCACCAGGGCACCCAACCGTGTGACGCTCTGCACTGCACTATGAGGCAGCCATCGTGCGTGGCCGAGGTGAGGACGAGGGAGGAGAGAGAACTCCAGGAGTGGCCACGAGCCCCCACCCCCGCCACTGCACTGCAGCTGCGTCCAGGGCCCTGTGGTCAGGATGCCACGTCCACATCGGAGGACCTGGGCTCCAGCTTCTTCCCCAGGCAGGCCCTGGGAGGCGGCCCTGATGGCCCAAGTGGTCAGGCTCTGGCCACCCGCGGGGCAGACCTGGATCGTGTTCCTAGCTCCCCAGGGCTCACACTTGCGCTCTCTCTCTCTCTCTCTCTCTGCCTCCCTCTCTGCCTCTCAACTATTAAAAAGAAAGAGATGGCCGCTGGCTCGGCCCCCAGTTGCTGACTGGCTCGGGTGAGGTCTCCCCGGCCCCTGCCCCAGCTGTCAGCCCCAGGAGGAGGGGCTGTGGGGGCCCTGGCTGCCGGCACCAGCTGCCCCGTGGCTGACACTTGAGCCCCCGCTTCGTTATTTTTTATCCGTTAAGTAATCCCTGCGGGGGCCAGAAAGAAACTGAGACTGGCCCCGGCGAGGCCAGTGGCCGACAGGACACACGGCAGCTTTTGAATGAAGTTGGGACGCGGGCACCGGCTGGGGGCCGGGTCAGCACCCTTGGGCGGGTCCCGGCTGAGGCAGGCACCTGGGGAGACGGCCCCTCCCCAATCAAAATGGGGTGCATGATGCAGGGTCGCGTGAGGAGCAGACGTGGCTCCCCCAAACGTAGCCCCTGGACTGTGCCTACAGACGGCTTCAGCTCTGTGGACTCACGCCCGGTGCCCCAGCTGCCACTGCCCAGGCCTCTGAGACCAGCCTGGCCAAGGACCAGCAGGGGGCGGGGGGGGCTTCCAAAATTCCTAGCTGAGCAAAGGCCCGAGAGCAGGCAGAGGCAGCTCGCTGACGCATCAGCACGCTCCCTGGGTCCCTCGTGGGCCCCAGCCATGCAGCCACGTCTCAAAGGGCGCTCCGGCGGCAGAGACACCGAAGAACCCCTGGAGCTTCCGCCCCACCTCCCCCCCCTGAAGGCCATGGGGCATCAGCTTCCTCAGGGTGGGGCTGTGCCTGTCCCCACTACAGCCAGCCCCTCACCTACTGCCATATCCAACAGAGGAGCAACATGTCGGGGGCAGGCGTAGGAACGGTAGAGGGACAGATGGTGGATGCATGGATGGCTGATGTGTGGATGAATGATATGTTGATGGACGGGTGGATAGATGGATCTGTTGATGGGCTGATGGACAGATGGACGGGTATGTTGATGGATTTGTTGGTGGATGGATGGACAGGAGGATGGTGATGGATGGGTATGTTGGTGAATGGGTGGATGCACAGATGGGTGTATAGGTGGATTTGCTGATGGGTTGATGGACAGATAGACGGCCATGTTGAGGGGTGGGTGGTGGATGCATGGATGGATTTGCTGGTAACTGGATGGGTGATGGATGGATAGATTTGTTGACGGATAGGCGGAGGAATACGTTGATGGATGGGCAGATGGATGCATAGATGGATTTGCTGGTGGACGGCTGGATGGATGGACAGGTGGATGGTGGATGGATGGACAGGTGGATGGTGGATGGATGGATGGATGATGTATAAATGGAATTGTTGATGGAGGATGGATGCATGCATGCATGGACGGACAGGTGGATGGATATGTTGATGGGTGGGTAGATGGACAGGTGGACATATAGATGGATTGGTTGATGGGTTGATGGGTGGATGGACGGGTGGATGGACAGGTGGATGGTGGATGGATGGATAGGATGGATATGTTGATGAATGGGTGGATGGTGGGTGAATGATGTATAAATGGAATTGTTGATGGAGGATAGATGCATGCATGCATGGACGGGCAGGTGGATGGATATGTTGATGGGTGGGTAGATGAACAGGTGGACATATAGATGGATTTGTTGATGGGCTGGTGGATGGCTGGATGGGTGGACGGATGGACAGGTGGATGGTGGATGGATGGACATGCTGATGAACGGGTGGATGGATGGATGGATGAATGATGTATAAATGGATTTGTTGATGGATGGATGGATGCATGCTTCATGGACAAACAGGTGGATGGATATGTTGATGGGTGGGTAGATGGACAGGTGGACATATAGATGGATTGGTTGATGGGCTGGATGGGTGGACGGATGGACAGGTGGATGGTGGATGGATGGATAGGATGGATATGTTGATGAACGGGTGGACGGATGGATGGATGGATGATGTATAAATGGAATTGTTGATGGATGGATGGATGCATGCATGGACGGACAGGTGGATGGATATGTTGATGGGTGGGTAGATGGACAGGTGGACATATAGATGGATTGGTTGATGGGCTGGTGGGTGGATGGATGGACAGGTGGATGGATGGATGGATAGGATGGTATGTTGATGAATGGGTGGATGGATGGATGGATGGATGATGTATAAATGGAATTGTTGATGGATGGATGCATGCATGCATGGACGGACAGGTGGATGGATATGTTGATGGGTGGGTAGATGGGCAGGTGGACATATAGATGGATTTGTTGATGGGCTGATGGGTGGATAGATGGGGGACTGATGCATGGTTGCACGAGCAGAGGGGTGGACAAGGGTCACCAGCATGGCCCGAGGTCTCTGGGCACGTGGGCAGTCAATCCACCACCCTAACAGCTGTAGAGGGCATCCTCGGCCAGAGCCCCACGCTCTGTCTTGTATACAGGAGAGTCAACTCCCTCCTCGGCTCTCTCCTCCATTTGGCAGCCAGCACCAATCTATCAACAGGCAAAGTCTGTCCCTGCAAGGTGGTCCCGACACCTCCTCCCTTCTCTGCTCTCTTCCAGGGACCCGGCCTCGCCCAAAGGTACAAGAGGGAATTCCACTTGGGCCTCCTAGGCACCTGCCGTGCTGGCTGTGCCCCGTGGTTAACACAAGGCACCGGCTGGGCCTCTGCTGCTCCTCATCCCATCATGGGAGGCAGCTGAGGCCTGTCCTGAGCCCGCTGCCTGCCTCCTCGACAGCCGCATTGGGGCTGGGGCTTCCCGCCCCCACCGGCCTCACCTGCCCAAGCCCTGTGACACGGCACAGGCACCCGGTGCTCCTCACCCCCGAGACAGACCTTGGCTTGCACTGCCAGCCGAGGCTCAGCTGAAAGCCCGCCGTGCTGCCCGTCTCAGTCCCCACCCGGATCCCGCCACGCGCTGACCTTCCCCAACGCTCACAGGGCCAAACCAGAGTGGGAAGCCCCCCTCCCTGGCTTCCTTCCTGGGAGCCCAGCTCTGCAGGACCAAGGTGCCCAGTTCTCGCTGCCGACTTTCAGGAGCCGTATGGACTGAGAGGGCACTGGGGCCCTTCCAGTCCTCTGCCTTTTCCTTTCTGGAAAGGCAGTGCTGGTGTGCAGTGTTCACACCCGGCAGCAAGCACACTTGGCAGTGGGCACACCCGGCAGCGAGCATGCCCAGCAGTGAGCATGCCCGGCAGTGGGCACACCCATCAGCGCTGGTGTGCAGTGTTCACACCTGGCAGTGAGCACACCTGGCAGCATTCACACCTGGCAGTGAGCACACCCGTCAGTGCTGGTGTGCAGTGTTCACACCCAGCAGTGAGCACACCCGTCAGTGCTGGTGTGCAGTGTTCACACCCAGCAGTGAGCACACCCGTCAGTGCTGGTGTGCAGTGTTCACACCCAGCAGTGAGCACGCCTGGCAATGGGCACACCCATCAGTGCTGGTGTGCAGTGTTCACACCCGGCAGTGAGCACACCCAGCAGTGAGCACACCCGGCAATATTCACACCCGGCAGTGAGCACACCTGGCAGTATTCACACCCAGCTGTGAGCACACCCGGCAGTGAGCTTACCCAGCAGTGCGCTTACCCAGCAGCAGGCACACCCGGCAGTGAGCACACCTGGCAGCATTCACACCTGGCAGTGAGCACACCCGTCAGTGCTGGTGTGCAGTGTTCACACCCAGCAGTGAGCACACCCGTCAGCGCTGGTGTGCAGTGTTCACACCCAGCAGTGAGCACGCCTGGCAGTGAGCACACCCGTCAGTGCTGGTGTGCAGTATTCACACCCAGCAGTGAGCACGCCTGGCAATGGGCACACCCATCAGTGCTGGTGTGCAGTGTTCACACCCAGCAGTGAGCACACCCGGCAACATTCACACCCGGCAATATTCACACCTGGCAGTGAGCACACCTGGCAGTATTCACACCCAGCTGTGAGCACACCCGGCAGTGAGCTTACCCAGCAGTGAGCTTACCCAGCAGCATCCACACCCGGCAGTGAGCACACCTGGCAGTGTTCACACCCGGCAGTGAGCACACCTGGCAGTGTTCACACCCTGCAGTGAGCACACCTGGCAGTGTTCACACCCTGCAGTGAGCTTACCCAGCAGCATCCACACCTGGCAGTGAGCATACTTGGCAGTGTTCACACCCGGCAGTGAGCACACCTGGCAGTGGGCACAGCCAGCAGTGAGCACAGCCAGCAGCGTTCACACACAGCTGTGAGCACACTTGGCAGTGTTCACACCCTGCAGTGAGCACACCTGGCAGTGTTCACACCCGGCAGTGAGCATACTTGGCAGTGTTCACACCCGGCAGTGAACACACCTGGCAGTGTTCACACCCTGCAGTGAGCACACTTGGCAGTGTTCACACTCGGCAGTGAGCACACCTGGCAGGCTTTCCCAGGTCCCAGAGGCTGTTCCACCCCAGCTTAGCCTGGCTGTTGGGCTCAGAGCTGGGCATACCTCTCAGCCTCTTCCCAGGCCCCCTGAATGCTGTGGTGTGCATCCCTGGCCAGGGCTCCCAGGGTCCTGAGGGACCTCCCTGGGCCCTGCATTCCAACAGGGGAGGGGGCCCTGGAGGTCTCTGGGGGGGGGGCAGCAGCCACCTGTGTCAACTGGACTTTGACGATGGTCTCAAGGTGTACACCTAATCCAAGGTTACCAGATTATTCACGCCAGCCGTGTGCACACGCCACACCACACCAGAGGCCACCAAACCAGAGGCCAGCAGCACACCAGAGGCCAGCACCTGCGCCACACCAGAGGCCAGCATGACACCCCCCGGAGGGCACAGGCACCTCCCCACGTGTCTACACCAGAGGCCAGCAGACCCCCCGGAGGGCACGGGCACCTCCCCACGTGTCTACACCAGAGGCCAGCATGACACCCCCCGGAGGGCACGGGCACCTCCCCACGTGTCTACACCAGAGGCCAGCATGACACCCCCCGGAGGGCACGGGCACCTCCCCACGTGTCTACACCAGAGGCCAGCATGACACCCCCCGGAGGGCACGGGCACCTCCCCACGTGTCTACACCAGAGGCCAGCATGACACCCCCCGGAGGGCACGGGCACTTCCCCACGTGTCTACACCAGAGGCCAGCATGACACCCCCCGGAGGGCACGGGCACCTCCTCACGTGTCTACACCAGAGGCCAGCATGACACCCCCCGGAGGGCACGGGCACCTCCCCACGTGTCTACACCAGAGGCCAGCATGACACCCCCCGGAGGGCACGGGCACCTCCCCACGTGTCTACACCAGAGGCCAGCATGACACCCCCCGGAGGGCACGGGCACCTCCCCACGTGTCTACAGCCACTTCAGAACAGGAAATGTTCTAAATAAACACAGGCAGAACGGAGAGGCTGCAGGACAGCAAGGGGGTGTCTTTCTGTCATTCCCATGAACGCTTCCTCCTCGCACACAGGGCAAATTAAATAGATAAAAACGGAGAAATGTTTTCAGATTGCACCCTGGGCAGAGACTGCAGGAGCTCTGAGACACAGCTGGCTGCCCACGAGGGAGGACAAGGTCACTGCTGCGGAGACGGGGACGAATCCTGCAGCAGGCAGAAACGTGGCCGCTCTGCCCCGTGCTCTAATCCATTAGCAAGCTTCTCAGATGGAGTCCAAGCACCCACCTAATCTCGGCTCTGAACTCTGCGACAAGTATTTCCCATGGAAGTGCAGCACCAAAACAGATACACAGCCGGCGCTGCGGCACAACGGCTAAACCACGGCCTGCTCGCCAGCAGTCCCGTATGGGCCCCACTTCCCACCCAGCTCCCTGCTATGGCCCGGGAAAGCAGTAGACGGCCCAAGTGCTTGGACCCTGCACCCACATGGAGACCTGGATGAAGCGTCTGCCTCCTGGCTTGGGCCTGGCCCAGCCCTGGCCATTGCAGCCCTCTGGGGGTGAACCAGGACATGGAAGACCTGTGTCTCTGTCTCTGTCACTCTGCCTTTCAAGTAAATAAATAAATAACAAGTGAGACGTTCTTCGCTGTGAGACACACAGGAGGTCACCGGCTTTGCACTAAAAGGACAACTGCGCCTCCTTCTCTGCTGTGGCCCGGGCCTGCGGCACTGCTTCTCCACCTCAGGGCTCCCAGAGCAGCCAGCACCAGCCACGTGGCCTGGGCCCAGGCCATGACTGCCTCCGCCGAGTGATAAACAGGGGCCCCCAGCCGGCAGAGCACGCCAGCCTGACCGCCTCTGGCCTCCAGGTCAGGCTTGGGTGCCTGTGTGGGGCCCACTCCAGCAGACAGTGGTGGCCGTCGTCCTGGGGCCTGGGGTGCGGCGCTCGCACCATGGTGGCTGGGCTCCCGCACCGGCCACTGCCTCTCCAGCCACCTAGTTTACAGCCTGTGTCTCTGTCTCTGCCTCCACCTCTGTCTCTCTCCATATCCATCTCTCTGTCACTGTCACTCTGTCACTCTCTCCATATCCATCTGTCACTCTGTCACTGTCTGTCTCTGTCTCTCTCCATATCCATCGCTGTCACTCTCTCTCCATATCCATCTCTGTCAGTGTCTCTGTCACTGTCTCTCACTGTCTCTCTCTCCATATCCATCTCTGTCAGTGTCTCTGTCACTGTCTCTCACTGTCTCTCTCTCCATATCCATCTCTGTCAGTGTCTCTGTCACTGTCTCTCTCCATATCCATCTCTGTGTCTGTCACTGTCTCTCTGCCACTGTCTCTCTGTCTCTGTCTCTCTCCATATCCATCTCTGTCAGTGTCTCTGTCACTGTCTCTCACTGTCTCTCTCTCCATATCCATCTCTGTCAGTGTCTCTGTCACTGTCTCTGTCACTGTCTCTCACTGTCTCTGTCTCTCTCCATATCCATCTCTGTCAGTCTGTCACTGTCACTCTGTATCTCTCCATTCCCATCGCTGTCACTCTGTCACTGTCTCTCTCCATATCTCTGTCACTGTCTCTGTCACTGTCACTCTGTCACTCTCTCCATTCCCATCGCTGTCACTCTGTCACTGTCTCTCTCCATATCCATCCCTGTCTCTGTCTCTGTCTCTCTCCATATCCATCCCTGTCTCTGTCTCTGTCCATATCCATCTCTGTCACTGTCTCTCTGTCACTGTCACTCTGTCACTGTCTCTCTCCATATCCGTCAGTCTGTCACTGTCTCTCTGTCTCTGTCTCCATATCCATCTCTGTCTCTCTGTCGCTGTCTCTCTCCATTCCCATATCTGTCTCTCTGTCTCTGTCTCTCTCTCCATATCCGTCACTGTCAGTCTCTGTCATTGTCACTCTGTCTCTGTCTGGTTTGGGCTGAAAGCTTCCATCTGCTCTGGGCCCAGGCTGCAGCCCTGCTACTCCCCAGGCTGAATGGGATTCCCTGCCCAGAGGCCTCCTGGACCCTGCTGAATCCCCTGCCCCCAGGCAGTGGCAGCCTCCTGAAGTTCCTCCAGGCTGGGTGGGGTGGGGCCTGCCCCTACCCCTCCCTCCACCTCTGAGCCCACCCCTCTGGGCACAGCAGGCAGCTGCTCAGAGCTCCTGGCTCTCTCGAGCATGTCAGGGTCTCTGGAGGGAGAGCTCGGCCCCCCGGCAGCACCCCTGTCATTTGGGCATGAGGTCGCCCTCAGCAGTGCCGGAGAAGGTCCCAGTCACCGGCAGGTGAGACTGGTGGCAGCCCCAAAATAGCCCCACAGAGCTGCCACCACCCCAGGAACGCCCGGAACCACCCACACCCAGCCAGAGGGGGAGGTCACCGGGCTCCAGGCCTCTGATGTGGGGGCAACTTGAAGAAGCTTCCAGAAGACTGTCACCAGTTGAGACAAACCTGCTTGGGGAATCAGTGAAGGCGTGTGCAGGTGGGAGGGGCAGGCATGCAGGCCTGCAGACCCTGGTGGTGGGGGACAGGCCCCCTCCCCCTCACCCAAGTGGAGCAGGTGTGCAGGTGAGCAGGTGCACAGGTTTGGAGTTCAGCAGGTGAGGAGGTGTGCAGGTGAGGAGCAGGTGCAGAGATGAGGAGCAGGTGTGAGGTGTGGAGCACGCGTGCAGGTGAGGAGCAGGTATAGGTGAGTAGGTGTGCAGGTGTGCAGCAGGGGAGCAGCTACGGAGCAGGTGCAGAACAGGTGAGTAGGTACGCAGCCGCGTTCAGGCACCTGTTGTGTGCAGAGCAAGGATCCCCCACCCCGCCCCTCATGCCCATGTCTTCCCCAGCTAAGGGTCGGAGACCCAGCACACAGCCAGCTGGGGACACCGCCTGGAGCCCAGCTCTGCTGCTACACAGGTGCACGTTCCTCCAGCTGGACTTCGAGGGCCCGTTTCACAGATGTAGCAACTGAGGCTCAAAGATGAGAGTGCCTCCACCCCCCGGCTCAGTCCCCCAGTCTCTGGTGCCCCAGAAACCAGTCTCCACGCGGCCTAGCTCACTCCAAGCCACAGCATACAGTGCCAGGGACCAGCCTTGACCCAGCAAGCCACAGTCCTGGTGGACAGTGGGGACGTGGAGCACGGCCACAGCCCCGTCCCCACAGATGCCTGTGCCACCGCACGTCACAGGCCGTCCCCCTGCGCCTGGCGATCAGCTCATGCTGAAAATCAGCGCGTCCTCAGCTCACAGCTGACCGTGCAGCAGCTCCTGGAGCCTGGGAGCCCAGGCCCAGACCCCCGCTGTGACCCTGAGGCCCCCAGCCACCCCAGCTCAGGATGGGGAGTCCCCATCACCACAGCCTTGGGACAAGGACACATGGCGGGGGGACTTTGGTGGCCCTGAGGGCCCCAATGGGCATCCTTACTGTTGGGGTGACCCTCACAGCCGGCCCCTCTCAGGGCTGGGGCCAAGGGCTCCTGTGTGGGCCAACCCTGGCCTGGACACCTGCAGGCCCACAGGAGCCAGGCAAGCCCAAGCGGGCTGGGTCAGGGTGACGGCTGTGTCTTTACGCCCATTTCACAGAAGGGAAAACTGAGCTAGAGAGCTCATGAGCGTGTCCCTGAGTGCTTGTGTGCTGGGCACACCGAGGGGGCAGCACAGCTCTGGCCCCACGGCCCCAGTACAAGGGGCCTGGGCTGTAAAACCGGGCAGGGGCGCAGGCACGAGGAGCGAGGGTATCCATTTGGGAGCTGCGCCAGGAGCTGGGCCCTGAGGCTGAGCATGGGGCCAGATCTGAAGAGGGTGGGAGGAGGAGGAGAGGAGGGGGTGCCGGGGGGAGCACGCAGCTCCCAGCTCCTCCACTGCGTGCAGCCCCACCCCTACCTCGAGGTGGCACTGGGTGGACACCACCCAGAGGGGCCGGCTGCCCCGGCCAAGACACCAGCACTTCCTGACTCGGCTCGGATCTCCTGTGGGGGGAGCGGGGGGCAGCATTCCAGCTGGCATTCCGACTCCTCCGCAACGATTTGTCCATTTCCTGCCCTGGCTGCAAATTTCAACCATTTCCTTCTGGGGCCACCTCCGGCCTCTGCCCACTGCCTGGCCCTGCGCTGACCCTGGAGGGGGCGGGGGACAGAGGACACTTCTTGTCTCTGCAGCTCTGAGTCTGGAACCAGTCCTGGCTCAACCGGGCACCTGGGCAAGAGGCCTCAGTGTGGGGCGCCAGGCCCCAGCCCCCACAGGAGTATGTGTGCGACCCCCTGTGCATGTGACCCACGGGGCACCACGCATGGAAGACGTCCACCATGAGGGGCAGCCCCGGCAGGGCCGTGGTACCTGGCCCTGGCCCTGCACAGGCTGCTGCAGTCCCCCTCGGAGAGCCCCAGGACAAAGGGGACCCCTGTGTCCCACAGCCTCCTAGCACGGGAGGGCCCGGGCCTGATCCGAGAGCCTCTAGCCCTGCCTGGCTGCTGTGCCCAGCTCACAATCCCGGCCATCTGTCGGGACCCTTGGCCACACACAGGCCCTGAGCTGTTCTTGGGGCGGGGTCTCCCGGGGCCCCACACTGGGGCTTTGCACCAAGAGCCCAGAGGGAGGGGCTGGGGGCCAAGGCCTTGTGTCCACCGCATGGATGCGAGTACCACTCTTCGGCTCTATGGGTCCAGCTTCGTACACACCTCGGGCTTATCAGGAACACTGGCGGGGACTGGAGCCCTGGCCACCTGTGGAGCCACTCGGTGGCCTCACTCTGGGCCCCGCATCATGTGTGTGCATGTGTGTGACGCTCACAGCAGCCAGCCCAGGGCTGTGGACCCGCACAAGCCGGACAGCAGGCAGGCAGATTTGCCAGGCTGGGCCGTGTCCTGGCCCAGCCGCTGGTGAACACGCCAGGCCCCCCGCCACGGCCTGGCTCTGATCTCACAGCCTGAGCATTCCCAGCACAGCATACGCGAGGATTCCTTCCGCGGGGTCCATGTGCCAGAGGGGGCTTCGCCCATGCCCACTCCTCCTCTACCCTCCCCTCCACTTCCCCGCAGAGCCTGAGAAACCCTCCTCTTCCGGCTTCCCACGGAGCCAGGTGCACGCAGCTGCACCAAGGAAGCCAGGGCTGGGCAACCGGGTGGCTGCGGCAGCTGGGCCCCCTGGGGCGTCCAAGCTGCAAGTGGTAACCCAGTCCCCAGAACCGAGATGACGCTAAAACACTCAGGTCAAGTCACACCTTCACATTCCCATGTCCACGGCCTCAGCTCTGCTCACCTGTGTCTCGCCTGGCCCAACAATGAACCGAGGGGCTCCCAGCACACACCCAGGGTTGCCATGGGCAGGCGGCCCCCAGCTGGGCCAGCCTGGGCCCTGTCCCTGCTGGGTGGGAGGTGGCTATCCCGCTGCCCCCTGCAGTTCCCCTGACTGCCCAGGTGAAGGCCCAGGGCCTGGGCATACAGAGCTGCCTGGGGTCCCTGGCGCTGTCACCCACTCGCCCTGCAGAATTCTGGGTTCCCACTGCCTGCATCTGGGGAGGCTCTGGTTCGCACCCGGCCTGGCACCATGGCACAAGCAGAGACGGGGGCAACACCAAGTCATGTGGGTATAGGACAGGCACGAAGTGCGGTAAGGAGGGGGCACTGAGCGGGGATCAGTGCCTCAAGCTCTGTGGAACGCCGCCCAAACCAAGAGTACACGCCCAGCCAGTCCGCTTCCGCCAGGTTCTAGAATCAGATTGAGGCACCAGCCTCCCGCTGCCCACCTAGCTCCCTACTGATGCCCCTGGGAGGCAGCAGGTGATGGTCCAAGTGCTTGGGCCCTGCACTCACATGGGAGACCCCACGGAGTGCTGGCTCCTTGGGCTCCGGGCCAGTCCCAGTGGGTTAGGGCGTCTGGGGAGTGAACCAGCAGATGGGAGATCTCTCTACACAGGGATAGATGATGATGATGGATGGACGGGTGGTGATACGTGGAGCGAGCCCCACCCCCTGGCTCTGCTGGACAGGACTGGGTTCTGTGTCCACACCAGCCCACCCCCGGGCTCCACATGCATGGTAACACCCCCACAGGGCCTGGCACCTGCAGCACACACAAGAGCTTTGATGAATGAGCCAAGGTGTCAACACAGGGGTCACCATAGGACTGACCTCAGGAGTCTCGGTGGGGGGCTCAGCCCAGCAGGAGGTGACGGGGACAGTGTCCGCCTGGGGCCCTACCTGGCTGCTGCCTCGCCGCCCCCCTACTTCTGCAGTGTACCTGGCTGGGCCAGGTGTGCTGAGCGAGTGTGATGAGGCTGGCCTCAGGCTGCATGGCAGCGAGAGAGCATTCGTGTGTGCTGTGTGCACGGAGCCCGTGGGGCTGCCACGTGAGGAATCCTGGGATCCACTGCACACGGCCACCTGTCCGACAGTGGCCAGCGGCTCAGGGAGCACTGGCCTCTGGGGACCTCCCGTCCACCCCAGGGGCTCCATGGGGGCCTGGTCTGGGAGCCCCAAGGAGGGGGCAACGGATGCCCAGGAAGCTTCCGGAAGACATGGTGCCAGGGCTTCCTCACAGAGCTGGGAGGAGAGGGGGAGGCGAGGGGGAGGCGAGGGCGGGGCGAGGTCTGTCTCGGCGGCTCCGGGCCAGGCAGGCTCCAGTTTCCACGGGAGCAGCGCAGCGTGTCCAGCAGCTGGAGACGGGGGCTCCAGTGACCGCTCGCATCCAGAATAGCTCTGCTGACTCAGACTCGGTTCTGTGGGAAAGTGGCCGGCGACACCCAGGACGCCCGCGGCTCACGGGAATAGCGCGGGAGAGTCGGGGGCCCGGGCAAGGAGGGGCACCCCTTGCAGGTCCTGCATGTGTCTGCTCCGTGGGCAGCAGGAACGAGCCACTGTCCCAGCAGCCCCCCCCCCCACCGCAGTGGGAGGAGCCCCTGGTCACACTTTGGGGTTAAAGAGGGGGATTTCTAACCCAAGCACATGCACACAGTCAGGAGCTAGTCCCACAGTTCTGTGATGCAAGTACAGAAGCTATAAACCAGACGGTTACGCCAAGTGACAAGACGCTCAGTGCACAACACGGGGTCCAGGACCCCTCCTCCTACCTGCTCACTCTGGTTGGCCTCAACCTCAGAGCCATCCCCTCATTCTCACAAGATAACTGCCACAGCTCCAGGCATCACATATTCATCCGGCAGCCTTTACAGGGCCATATGCCCCTCTGAAAAGCCAGGAAGACATTACAGAAGCCGCGGACACAGTCCCACAGAGAGGTCTCCCGCCCACCCCTGCATCAGTGGAGACAGGGAGACGCTCGTTCAGGGTCAAGCATGGACTCCCCAGGGCCGCAGCCTGCAGCAGTGCTCTGCTGTGCTGACCTGGGCTGTGCACCTGCTGTGCTGACCACGGCCTATGCATGTGCTGTGGGAGCCCTGGGCTGTGCATCTAAGGTGCTGACCACGGCCTATGCATGTGCTGTGGGTGCCCTGGCCTGTGCACCTGCTGTGGGTGCCCTGGGCTGTACACCTGCTGTGCTGACCACGGCCTATGCATGTGCTGTGGGTGCCCTGGGCTGTGCACCTGCTGTGCTGACCATGGCCTGTGCACCTGCGGTGGGTGACCTGCGCTGTGCACCTGCTGTGGCTGACCTGGGCTGTGCACCTGCTGTGGCTGACCTGGGGCTGTGCACCTGCTGTGCTGACCATGGCCTGTGCACCTGCGGTGGCTGACCTGGGCTATGCACCTGCTGTGGCTGACCTGGGCTGTGTACCTGCTGTGCTGACCTGGGCTGTGGGCCTGCTCTGGGTGACCTGGGGCTGTGCACCTGCTGTGGCTGACCTGGGCCCTGTGCCTGCTCTGGGTGACCTGGGCTGTGCACCTGCTGTGCTGACCATGGCCTGTGCACCTGCTGTGGGTGACCTGGGGCTGTGCAACTGCTATGGATTACCTGGGCCCTGTGCCTGCTCTGGGTGACCTGGGGCTGTGCACCTGCTGTGCTGACCATGGCCTGTGCACCTGCTGTGGCTGACCTGGGCTATGCACCTGCTCTGGGTGACCTGGGCTGTGCACCTGCTCTGGGTGACCTGGGCTGTGCACCTGCTGTGCTGACCTGGGGCTGTGCACCTGCTGTGGGTGTCCTGGGCTGTGCACCTGCTCTGGGTGACCTGGGCTGTGCACCTGCTCTGGGTGACCTGGGCTGTGCACCTGCTGTGCTGACCATGGCCTGTGCACCTGCTGTGGGTGTCCTGGGCTGTGCACCTGCTCTGGGTGACCTGGGCTGTGCATCTGCTCTGGGTGTCCTGGGCTGTGCACCTGCTCTGGGTGACCTGGGCTGTGCACCTGCTGTGGGTTACCTGGGCTGTGCACCTACTGTGGGTGACCTGGGCTATACACCTGCTGTGCTGACCTGGGCTGTGCGCCTGCTGTGGGTGACCTGGGCTGTGCACCTGCTGTGCTGACCTGGGCTGTGCATCTGCTGTGCTGACCATGGCCTGTGCATCTGTGGTGGGCGACCTGCACTGTGCGCCTGCTGTGGGTGCCCTGGGCTGTGCACCTGCTGTGCTGACCTGGGCTGTGGGCCTGCTGTGGGTGCCCTGGGCTGTGCACCTGCTGTGCTGACTGTGGGCACACTGGCTGTCTGAGATGCTGTGGCCTCAGGCCCACTGGTGCTCAGTGGAGGAGCTGAGCCTCCCAGCCCCAGGGCACATGTCCTTCATGGAGAAGCATCCACCCAGGTCATCACATGTCCACCCCACACCCACACCACCATGGTGGAGATGGGATTTTGTCTGCCATCACTGAGGCAGGCGCTGGACCCGAGGCCAGCAGCAATGATGAATCAGAGATGAGGAACACGAGGCGAGCAGTGGTGGCTGCTGGGACGGGGCACCGTGGGGAGCCGTGGTGGCCGCCGGGACGGGACACCGTGGGGAGCCGTGGTGCCCGCCGGGACGGGGCGCCGTGGGGAGCAGTGGTGCCCGCCGGGACGGGGCGCCGTGGGGAGCCGTGGTGCCCGCCGGGACGGGGCGCCGTGGGGGGCAGTGGTGCCCGCCGGGACGGGGAGCCGTGGGGGGCAGTGGTGCCCGCCGGGACGGGGCGCCGTGGGGGGCAGTGGTGCCCGCCGGGACGGGGCGCCGTGGGGGGCAGTGGTGCCCGCCGGGACGGGGAGCCGTGGGGAGGCGTGGTGCCCGCCGGGACGGGGCGCCGTGGGGAGCCGTGGTGCCCGCCGGGACGGGGCGCCGTGGGGAGCCGTGGTGCCCACTGGGACGGGGCGCCGTGGGGGGCAGTGGTGCCCGCTGGGACGGGGCGCCGTGGGGGGCAGTGGTGCCCGCTGGGACGGGGCGCCGTGGGGGGCCGTGGTGCCCGCTGGGACGGGACGCCGTGGGGGGCCGTGGTGCCCGCTGGGACGGGGCGCCGTGGGGGGCCGTGGTGCCCGCTGGGACGGGGCGCCGTGGGGGGCCGTGGTGCCCGCTGGGACGGGGAGCCGTGGGGGGCAGTGGTGCCCGCTGGGACGGGGCGCCGTGGGGGGCAGTGGTGCCCGCTGGGACGGGGAGCCGTGGGGAGCCGTGGTGCCCGCTGGGACGGGGCGCCGTGGGGGGCAGTGGTGCCCGCTGGGACGGGGCGCCGTGGGGAGCCGTGGTGCCCGCTGGGACGGGGCACCGTGGGGGGCAGTGGTGCCCGCTGGGACGGGGCGCCGTGGGGAGCCGTGGTGCCCGCTGGGACGGGGCGCCGTGGGGGGCAGTGGTGCCCGCTGGGACGGGGCGCCGTGGGGAGCCGTGGTGCCCGCTGGGACGGGGCGCCGTGGGGGGCAGTGGTGCCCGCTGGGACGGGGCGCCGTGGGGGGCAGTGGTGCCCGCTGGGACGGGGCGCCGTGGGGAGCCGTGGTGCCTGCTGGGACGGGACGCCGTGGGGAGCCGTGGTGCCCGCTGGGACGGGGCGCCGTGGGGAGCCGTGGTGCCCGCTGGGACGGGGCACCGTGGGGAGCCGTGGTGCCTGCTGGGATGGAGCACTGTGGGGAGCCGGACTTGTCCTCCTTATGCTACTTTGCCCAAAGCCAACTGTGTTTCTACTGTAACAAAGAAATTGATTTTCTTAAAGAAACCACCTTGTCAGTGGGGCACGGGATCTGGAACTGAAACCCTGGGCTTGGCGGGAGCCGTCCCCAGCAAAGCCCACAGGTGACCCCCAGAGTATTGGGGATGGGGGCGGGGCCCTGGAGGCCTTGGCGAAGAGGCTGAGGCGCGGGTCCTTGGGGAGAGCGTGGCCTGGGCACCGTGGATGCAGCACAGCCCCACAGTGGGGCCGGGGCCCACACAACCCCTCACAGCAGCTCCTAGCAAGACTTCACAGGGGCAGGGCTAGGACTCCCGCCCCCTGGGTCAGCGCTGTCCACAGCTGTGGCCTTCCTGCGTGCAGAGGGTGCCACACACAGGCCCTTCTGCCAGTCCCCTGCCCCCCCTGCAGTGGAGGTCAGCGCTACCTGGGGGCATCTCCATGGGCCTTCGCTGCCCCAGCAGGGCAGCCTGGATCCAAGCTCTGACTCCTCTGCTTCCAAGATCTGGGGCCAGAGTCCCCAGCAAGGACCTTGACTTCCCCTTCTGTAAAATGGCATTGCAGAGGTAAGGCGGAGGCAGCCCAGGCAGCTGCTGGACCCAGGCAGTGCCAGCACTTCTGCTCACAGCCCTGTGCTCATTCAAGTCAGCACGTGACAAACGTCAGTTTCAGGGCCAGCACTGTGGCGTAGTGGGTAGAGCCACCATCTACAGTGTCGTCATCCCAGATGGCTGCCAGCGCAAGTCCCGGCTGCTCCACTTCCAGGCCAGCTCTCTGCTGGGGCCTGGGAGAGCAGGAGGATGGCCCAAGTGCTCGGGCCCCTGCACCTGCATGGGAGACCCAGAAAAAGCTCCTGGCTCCCGGCTTCCAGCCTGGCTCAGATCTAGGGCATTGCAGCCAACTGGGAGTGAACCAGCAGATGGAAGACTTTTCTGTCTCTCCCTCTCTGTAACTCTGCCTTTCAAATAAATAATAATAAATAAATCTTTTATTAAAAAAGCCACTTTCCCCCAGCAGTCAGCTCCACAGGGCCAGGGGCTCAACGGAATCCAGCACAGCGACACACACTAGCAATACTCAAGAAACGTATATTTGGTGGGCAGGCAGACTGCGGTACAGGGGTGAGTAAACAGATGGATAGATGGATAGGTGGCTGGATAGATGGAAAGAATACAGATGGACAGGCAGGTAGGTGGCTAGATGGGTGGATGATGGATGGCCTATGGTGGACGGGTAGGTGATGAATGGATGGATGGGTAGAAAAGCCGTAGATGAGTAGGTAGATGGATGGAGGATGGAGGATGGATGACGGATGGATGGGTAGAAGGATGGTGGATGGGTAGGTAGAGGGATGATGATGACGATGGATGATGGGCAGAAAGGTGGTAGGTAGATGGATGGGTAGATGATAGATGGGTAAATGAGTAGATGATGGATGGATGAAGATGGATGGATGACATGATGGATGATAGATGACATGGTGGATGGATGATGGATGGATAAGTGAGTGAATAATGGATGGATGAGGATGGACAGATGACAGACGATGGATGGATAATGGATGACAGATGGTGGATGGATGATTGACAACGGGTGGATTGAGGAATGAGGATGGATGATGGATGATAGATGACAGTTGTATGGATGGATGAGGATGGATGGAAGATGGGTGGATGACAGCTGATGGGTGGATGACAGGTGACGGTTGTATGGATGGATGATGGGTGTTTACGTGGATGGATGGATGGATGATGGATAAGGATGGATAAATGAGTGGATGATGGGTGGATGATGGATGACAGAACACGGATGATGGATGGATGACGGGTGATGGGTATACGGATGGATGGATGACGGGTGATGAATAATGGATGAATGATGGACGGATGATGGATGTTTACATGGATGGATGGATGATAGATAATGGATGGATAAATGAGTGGATGATGGATGGATGGATGGATGAGGACGGATGACGGATGGACAGATGATGAATGGATGATGGATGGGTGGGTGGATGGCTGATGGGTGATGGTTATACAGATGGATGGATGACGGGTGATGGTGTAGTATGGATGCATAATGGATGAATGATGGATGGATGATGGATGATGGGTGGATGATGGGTGACGGTTGTATGGATGGATGATGGATGGATGACAGATGGATGGTAGCTGTATGGATGGAAGATGGGTGGATGACGGATGATGGGTGGATGATGGGTGACGGTTGTATGGATGGATGATGGATGGATGACGGATGGTAGCTGTATGGATGGAAGATGGGTGGATGATGGATGATGGGTGGATGATGGGTGACGGTTGTATGGATGGATGATGGATGACTGGATGAAGGATAACGGATGGATAAATGAGTGGATGATGGATGGGTGATGAATGATGGATGAGGACAGAGGACGGATGACGGATGGATGATGGATGGGTGGGTGGGTGGATGGATGGATGACGGGTGATGGTTATACGGATGGATGGATGACAGGTGATGGTGTGTGGATGGATAATGGATGGATGATGGATGTTTACATGGATGGATGCAAGCAGAGGTACAAGGCTTGTGGGAGCAGCCCCACTCTGATGTCCCACAGAGGTCCGTGCAAGGGCCCCAGCTAACCCCTGACCGCCCCTGCATCCGAGTCTGCTGGCCCCGACCAGCACTGCCCCCTCACTGTGGAGTTCGGGTGGAGCCATGTGAGGAGGGGCCTGGCCTCTGCGACCTTCGGGCTGCGAGCGAGGCCTCCGCACGCCCCATGCCCATTTCTCAGCAGAGAGGACAAGGCACGGGCATGTGCTCCGGCAGGCAGGCGGGAGAGGGGTGCAGTGATGAAGTGTGGCCAAGCCGAGCCTTGCTCCCAGGCCCACAGCCCCGTCCTTCTTGGCGTCCCCTCCCCAGACGGCAGGGGGAGGCCAATGCTGAGCCCAGCTGCTCTGGGCCAAGGAAAACCCGTTTGTTGTCTTCACTGCCTGGGACATCTCCGTCTGGAGCTGCAGCTTCCTAGGGCGTTGCCATGGAGATGAATTTTCTGTCATAAGTGAAGAGTGTTCTGGGGTCAGGAGATCCCACCGTTTTCCAGGACAGATTTTTCAGGGGGAAATACGGGCAGGTTTGGAGAGGACAGCTCGTGAGGGTGCTTTCGGGCCCTTGTGAGTTTGGAACTAGCCAGGCCGCTGACCAGTGCTCCACCTGCCCGGGGGTGGGGACTGAGACCTGAGCGCCACAGCCGGGGTGAGGTCTGGGGTCCCTGGAGACAGCAGAGGCTGTGGCACTGCTGCGCCCCGACCCGGGCCCTGGGATTCTGGCACATTCCTGAGCTACCTCCCCAGGGCCACGAGGGCTCAGGTTTCTCCCTTCGGGCCTGGGGCAGGCAAGGGGTACTGGCGGTAGAGGCTCACTTCCCATCAGCCCCAGGCTCATGTCAGCGTTTAAGGAGGTGGGGGAGGCAGGGACAGGGCCTCAAGAGGAAGGTATGCAGGGTCGCGGGGGCCCTGGACACCACCCAGGCCTGTTTGCCAACCCCCACCGCCATCCACTCCCGGGATTAGGTAAGCAGCTGCCCAGCCAGCAGGGCCCAGCACCGCCCCTCACAGAGGCCCTGGGTCCTGGGACAACTGCACCCTTGGTGTCTTCTCCCAGCCCCCTGGGGCTCCAACCTGGCAGCAGTGGCTTTCACGGCATCCAGCCCCAGGCCCCCATGCACCCCAAAAAGTGAAGGAGGGGGGAAGCAGAGGAGACGGAAGGAGGGTGGGCTGCTGGGGGTCCCTTTGAATCTGGAGCCAAGGGAGGAGACCTCAGCCTCGGCCCCTGGACAGGCCCCGCGTCCCCAGCTGGGAGGGCCGCCTGGGTGCCCTGGAGACCTGCAGAGATCTCTCCCCACAGAGGCTCTGCAGGTGCACTGGGCAGCTGTGGCCACAGGGCCCCTGGCTGGGGGACACAGGCTCTCCCC